GGATGTTTTTCACTGTGAGGATCAGAGCTCAAAGTTTGGACATAGTTTCTAATATGAAACCTGAAGACTAATTGTATTGGGGTTGTTAAATTTGTAGGCCTTGATTAACAAATCATGGAACCTTATACTTACAGAAAATGAAACAATATATTTTGAGAGATAGATTACTATGGTAGAAGTAGGTTTTAGCAATAAGAGTTTATCCATCTGATTCCCTTTACATGTAGGTTGCCTTGTCTGTAAACCCTCTAAACAGCTGTTTCCATCTTCCTTTCTCAGTGTCTGTTTCTCTCCCTGCAGTCTCACTGTTACCTCCAGACTGTCACCAGCTCACGGCTGAGATCCTGGGAGTCGTTTGCATTGTCCTACTGGCCTCTGTGTTAAAAATTGTAACTTTTAGTCCCTGTAAGTATCTGTTTGTAAGATTATTATACAACCTTTCACTTCAACAACTGAAAGTACCTCTAATCATTTCATAGGAAGTGAAAAATTACATTTAGATATTAATTATTTAATAAGGATGACTTTGTTTTTTTGTAATTATAGTAACACAGAAGCAGAACAATTTTCTCCCGAATTGTCGGAAATTTCAGAGAGGTATGGATATTAATCATGTTTTATTTTGTCTCATCTCTGGATATGCAAAATTTATTATGATACTAACAGTTAAATAATTTTGCTTCTTTATGAAAGATGGTTTTGTTCATTGACTTCTGAGACATGTGCAGGGTGCATTTATGTTTGATGTTTTGGTTATGTGGTGATATAATTATGGAATGAGAGGATGACCTTCAGGTACATGTGTACAACTGGTTTTGCTTTTGTATTTCTCAGCCTGTGAGGATGCAAAGACATGTACATATATTTTTTACCATTGAAAATACATAAACTAATTTTCATTTGAAAAATTCAAATTGTGTCCCAAAAGTAATAAATAATTTTCCTTTAGGATATCCTTGTGGTCATTATCCAGAGGAGTGGTTCACATATTCCAGCAATTGTTATTACATTAGTAAGGAACACAAAACTTGGCATGAGAGTTTGATGGCCTGTGCTTCTAAGAACTCCACTCTGCTTTACATAGATAGTGAAGAAGAAATGGTAAGATGTTAAATGTTTCACTTTATTTAGTCAATATTACATTTCTAGAATTCATCAAATTCTTGTAAACATTTTAGATTATTTCAATTCTGTATATTACCCTGTTGTTTGACTTCACAAGAGTTTAACTCTACTCATAAACTGCTAATTTGTGCCGATTTAATTACTACAAAATTGTGGCTGTTCGTGAAAGCCATGCTTCTAGAAATCCTTTTAGTGTAATTAAATTTTGCTGCTTAATTGTACTGTATAAAAACATATCACGATTGGGCAGCTTTATCACAAAGTGAGTGGACTCCTGTAATACAAGTCAGATCACAAAAATGGGGATTTCTAGCCCTAGGAACCCTGCCATGTGCATAGAGTTGTCACTTTTCCTCCCTTCCACATTATGTTGTTATTTTAAAATTCATTCTATTTGGTGTCTCTGGATGGGGGAGGTAAGTTTCATATCCTCTAGGACACAAAGTCTTTCTGTATGAGGCATTTGTGGTCATGGGATTCCTTCGCTGGACCCCTCAGCCACATCTACACTAGTGTCCCTTGGTGAGGTAGCAGAAACTCTTCCTCTGGCTGTTTACTGGTAGCAGGTCTCCTGATACATCCCCTTTGCAGATACTGCCAGCCTTGCTGGTGTTGCTGCAGGAAATACAGAGAGGGAAGGTGCCTTACCTGAGGCACCAGGGCTGGGTGCTGGGAAACAGCAGGCATACATCACTCTCTTCTATTGGGCAGGGGACTTAAAATGCCCACCACTGTGGGCACTCCTGATCCTGGAGTCCCAAACTACACCCCCTTCTCTTGCCTTCTTTGAATGTCTCCCTTGCTTGTATCTTTCATAAATTCTAAAGTTTGTGGTTGTATTTAGAAGGAAGAAACACATGTTGTAGACCATAGTTCTGCCAACACTGAATCAAAAAAACTGGGTGCATACCTAAACAATGGTGGGATGCCCAGAAAACAGTCTTTTTGTCTTATAGATTTCTTCCATGGAAACGTTTTGAATTCTATTCTAAACCTGAAACTTGCAGAAATTTAGTAAAAATACAGATAGATTTAATATTGCCATCAACCAAAATGTATTTACAGTATCTGGAATTTATTTAAATTCTTACCATTTTTGTTTTGGCAACATGGGTTGCCAAATTTCATAATTTTCATAATTTTCCTCATTAACACAAGAAGAAGAATGAAACTATTAAGTATAAATGTTTAAGAGTTCATTTTTCAGCAAAACTTATAAACATTGGTGAAAGATTTTAGCAAAGTAAAAAGTGATTTTCAACATTAATATTGCTTAGAATATTAATTTTATTTCAACAATCATAGATCCAATGGAAAACATGCTACTTGTACTTTAAAAATTGTAAAATCCTTGATAATTATTTAAATACAAAATATTTATGTTCCTATAGAAATTTCTGGGTTTCCTGTCACGACTGTCATGGATTGGAGTCTTTCGTACCAGCAGTGATCATCCATGGATGTCAATAAATGGCTCAACTTTCAAACTTCAGTAAGTTTTAATGAATGGAAGTATACAGTAGAAAATATTAAAAAGGAGAAATTCATCAAACTAATATAAGTATGTTTCAATTGAATTATGGGCACAAAAAAGATGTTGAAAGTTAGTGAAATGTTGATATAAATATTAAAGAATGAACCACAGTAGTTCCACCTTATCAGTGGTTTTATTTTCTCTATTTGGAGGTCAATCTTAAAAAAAAATTTAATGAAAATTCTAGGAAAAACACTTCATGAACTTTAAAATTCTCAGTGTTCTGAGTAGGATGATGAAATTTTGCATTGTCCTGCTCTGTCTTCCCTGGGATGTGCATCATCTCTTTGACCAACAGATCACACTGTAGGGGCGACCCCATCATTAGTCATGTCATGGTCCTCTGGTGATCATACCAATTGTCCTCCTACCACAGTGTTTGCTTGCCAAGAACCTTCTATTTTCCTCAATAATGGTGATACTGGCATATTATTATACTTACTTTTGTCTATTATTTGTTATCGTTGTTAATCCCCTCTTATGCTTGATTTATAAACGTTATCACAGTTGTGCATATATAGAATAAACATAATATATAATAGAGTTCAGTAAAATAGGTGGTTTCAGGCACCCAATGGTGATCTTGAAACACATCTCCGGTAGATATGAGAGACTACTGTGGTCAATTTTCATAATAGCCAACTCTTACTAGTAATAGATTAAAATATCATTAACTATTTTCACAAAATTGTTCCCTTGAAGTACGTGGACAATGATTTTGTCTTAGGGATTTTCCCCATAAAATATAATGGAAGTATAAACTTTTCTCCATTACAGCATATCAGAAACATTATATAAGAACTATTCCTGTGCTTTGCTACGCGACAGTAGACTTCTATCAGAAGGATGTGGATCTTTACAAAGATATCATTGTAAGCGCAGACTTCGAAAGTAGAGCACCTGAGTTTGGAGTCGGTCATGTAATTACATATTTTTTGAAATGGAAACAATATTATAATTATATAAGTCAAAATGAATTGCAATTTGTTCTAATAATGAAAAGATTTTCACAATAACATTTGTAGTGTCATATACACACCATAAATCACAGTGTATCATTCCTTTTGTATCTGGGTCCTTTCACTCAACATTGTATTTAGCATTTCTAAAAATTGCATATAATGAGAATCTGTTTGTATGAAAATTCAAGAATAGGCAATCTTATACAGACAGAAAGTGGAACAGTGGTTGTAAAAGACTAAGGGGAGGAATAGGATGTGACCACTAATTATGTTACTGTAAATAGAAATTCAGTTGAAGTTTGCCAACTCATATGCGGTCACTTCATTGATCTTATGTATTAGTTCTACCACTGGAAATGTCAAATTTTCTAGATTTTCTATACAAATTACTATTTTATCTGTAATAATCACCATTTTATTTTTTGTCCTGGTGCCATACATTGTTTTTTATTTTCACTTTCTAAATTTTTATTTTCAATGATGAATATAAGGTATAATGATGGTTCTTTGTATACCTTTAAAAATATTAAATCAATATTGTGCTTCTGAAATGAAATAATATTGCTCATTAAAAAAAAAAATGTCAGTGATGGCTTGGTACCCGTAACACAGTGGTTATGGCATCAGGCATATGCACCGAGAGTGGTGGGTTTGAACCCGGCCCGGGCCAGCTAAAACAACAATGACAACTGCAACAATAACAACAACAAAAACATCTGGGCAATGTGGTGGGCACCTGTAGTCCCAGCTACTTGGGAGACT